AAAACAGCAGCTTAAAGACTTCGGTATAGAAACAGGTTGTATTCCTATTCTATGTGATAACACAAGTGCTATAAACATGGCCAAAAACCCAGTTCAACACAAGCGCACCAAACACATAGATGTTAGACATCACTTTCTTCGTGATAATGTTGAAAAAGGAAACATAATTATGGAGTTCTGCAAAACTGAGAATCAAGTTGCTGACATCTTCACCAAGGCACTAGGAAGAGAGTCATTTCAGAAAAATAGACTTGAGTTAGGGCTCATCTTCTTAGAATGAACCATGCCCAACCAAGTTCTAATGAGGTATAAACCAGGTTCAGTCAAAGATGGTTCTACATAATCTTTACTTTATAAAAAAAAATTATATTTTTTTTAAAAAAAGGGGTCAACAATTAAAAAAAATTGAAAAAAAACAAAAAAAACAAAAAAAATTTAATTAAAAAAGATAAAAAAAATTGGGGGAAATCAATCTCATCTTCTCTCTCCCATGCCCCATGACAAGTAGGTGCAACCGTCACAGTGCACGTCTCCTCGATGTCAATCCCCCATAATTACTCCAACCCCTTGATTACAACATCAAAACCGTTCCCAATAAAGCACTCTCTCTAAACTAGCAACCAACTTTCTCTCTTCTTCATTCTTCAGAAAACCAAGAAATCAAAATCCCTTCCATCACCATGACTAATCCACTTGTTGCTTACTCTGATGACGAAAGCTTGTCTGATAGTGCGTATTCTCATGGGGAAGAGAACCCAGTTGTTGATGTGGTGCCCGATCTTGGGGAAGAAAGCCAACTCCCAGCCACACCACCTACATCCTCATCAAAATTGGATCTGCCTCCATCACCACCGCCAACAGCTCCATCACCATCACCAAAACCTCCATCACCACCACCAAAAGCTCCATCACCACCGCCAAAAGCTACATCCCCACAAGCACAAGTAACCCCTTCCCCATCACCAGTTAAAGGAGCATCTTCACCTGTCGTTACAGACTCCCCACCACCATCCATCATCGAATCTCCCCCATCAGCACTCCAAGAAAACCCAGCATCACCGGTCCACGAAACCCCACTTTCACCAACCCCAACATCTCCCACAACCACTGTCCCAACCATCCCCCCTTCTTCACCATCTCACCAAACCACTCCTCAAAACCCACCACCCTCTCAAATCCATGATGATATTCTTTTGAGTTCCCTTCATCCTACAAAACCACGGCGGCCAAGAAAACACATTGCCGTCAAACACGTTCGTCCACACAGGACAGTAACAAGGAGTGCGCATGTGGTCAAGCCAGCTGATGATACAACATCTAGGGTGAAGCGTCGCCATTTGGGTAAGTCTCATGTTCCTTCATCAGTCTCTCCAATGGATCTTGCTTCTGATACTGATGCCATGTCTGAGGAAAAACATTCTGCAACCCCTCAATCCAAAACAAAATCTGCGAAAAGAAATGCAGATAAATTTCTAAAAGTGGGAAGGAAAAAGTACTTCCAAACCAAATCAGTGCTTAGGGGTAGAACTTTTCATCCTGATATACTTTCAATGGATTTAGTGAAGCAGGTTTGTGAACTCCTAAGGTTTCAAGGGTGGGAGGAGTTATTTCTCGAACCTAGTTTGATTTATGAAAAGGAAGTGGTCGATTTCTATACGAACTTGGTAATCTTAGAAGGAGATGTGGTGTTGTCTAGTGTAACGGGTGTTGATATTGTGTTCGATGCAACCAAGCTTGGGGAAATATTGCATATACCATCTGTAGGTTTAAATGTGTACAATTGGAGTTTTGATGAGTATTCAAGTCTGCCAGCTCGATTCTCTCAAGGTAGAGTCAATTCTAGGGCTCAAACTGTTTTAAAGGGAATAATGCGATCTTTGCATAAGCTTCTTTTTGAGATAGTTCATAAGGTGATACTGCCTAGAGGTAACCAACGTCACATTGCCTCCATACGAGACATGGGACTTATGAGTGCACTTGAATGCAAAGAGCGCATTGATTGGCCTACATTGATTATCAAACATCTTGCTAGAATTGTGGATCCTAAGTTAGGCTCTCATCATTTAGATTTTGGCAACCTATTGACTAGGGTGTTTGATGATTTTGAAGTACCATTGGGAGAAGGCAGGATCTTAACTCGTGCAGACATGTTCACTCAAACAATCCTTGCTGATTGTGGCATTCCTATGGAGTCGGAGCAGGTTGCAACTGCGTCTCCACGTACATCTGGTCCTGTTGCTCAGTTACTTAGGGAACTTAAAGTAGCTCAAGAAAAGAACGCCTCTCTTGAATCAGACAATCAGAAGTTACGTGCTCAGCTCGATTCTTCAAATGCTGAAATACACAGGTTGAAGGATCAGTTGGTGCAGCAGCAACTTGCTAACAATGCCAGAGTTGACAGAGTTTTGGATATGCTGGCTTCAGCTTCAACTAAGCCTGGTCAACCTCCACAGTGATAAAGCATGTTGTTTGAACCTGTTTCTCTTAGATGGTTTCACTCTGTATTGTTGCTCCTTGTTTTGTTGCCAGAAAAATTTACATTGCTCACCTGGCTGGGTGTATTTTGTTGCTATGGATATTGATTAGTGTTGATTAGCCGCTGTTTATGTCTTTTTGATTCATCAAAAGGGGAAGAGTTATTTGCACATGCATCACACGTTACATGTTTGTCTTCATCAAAAAAGGGGGATATGATAGAATGTGATAGAATCGTTAATTCGTTTTGATGATAGACAAAAAGCGCAAAGAACAGTAGCAAATGTACGCAGCGAAAGAAGTCAAGCTAGAGTCCAAGATCAAGTAAAATAGAGTTATTTGTCAAAGTCAAAATAATATATTAAAGGTACAAGTCAATACAAATAAGGAAAACCTTAAATATATTATTAAGGAAGGAAGTTGTGTATAATAAGGATTCTAATTTAAAAAAGAATCCTTGTTTAAATATAACTTTCTTAACTTATTAGTAAGGATTGTACAAGGCAAAAACTCTATAAGAAGTATACGAGGTAGAGGAAAATCACACGACTTCACGCACAAAACAAGAGAGAATTATTCATCAAACTGAGGTCTTCAAGATTGATTGGATTGCTACGTTTAAACATTCTTGAGTGAGAATGTTTTATCGTGTAGAATTATTTGTCTAGTTTTTGTTCTTAATTGTAGTTTACAGTTTTGTGTACAAAGGGTGGGTTTGGCTCTTTGTAGGGTTGAGTGTTAGAGAGAATTGTAACAAAAGGTGGGTTTGGCCTTTTGGAGAGATCGATTGGAGTCAATCGAGGGAGTACTAGAGATAAGACTTTTGATTATTGAGTTGTAATCACAAAATCTTATAGTTGAATTAATAAAACGAGGTTTTTCCTTTCTTGAGTGAGGAAGGTTTTAATTCAATAAGTGTTTGTGTCTCTATTCTGTGTTTACTTAAAAGCAACTTACACGAACCTGGTTCGTGTTCTCGGGTAAAGTTTCTTCATATGACATATTATAATTAATATGCATCAGTATAAATGTATATTGTAAATTAAAGTCTTAAAAATAATAGTCTTGTAATTTTTCCAAATTTCAATCTAGAAATGAGCTAAAGAAAGGCACATTGATGCAGCAATTTTGTTAGAATTTAGGACAGGTTTTAGGCCTAATAAGTCTTATATTCTTTTGGGCAAAAGGCCCAATTTATAATTTGTTCTTTCCTTTATGTATGGGAAAAACTTATGAAATATATTTGAACTTTAATTAAAATTTTTATAACAATTTCAAATTTTAGGCATGATCTATTATCCCTATAATATTTAATAGTGTACTTTAAAGATATATAAGTCTTTAACTGGACAAGTTACTATTTACAATGATACAATATTTATTATGTCCACATGAGTACCTATATCTTTAAAATATACTATTACATAGTGCATGGGTAACAAGTCCTGCCTGAAGTTAAGAATTGTGACAAAAAGTTCGATCAAAGTTTGAATGTATTTCAAACTCTTTTCTCTTTGTTTATTGTGATTTGCTTTGATTAGCTTTAACTTAAGCTTTGATTAACTTAATTGAATTCCTTATAAGATAAACTTTTTGTTGGTGTTGGTTTACTTTAGTGAATTTCAATTTATCAACTCTTGTGTTCTTTATCGACTTGATCAAAAATCTTTAATCAAAATTTTCACTTGTCTTTAATTAAAGATAATTTCTTATTTTGACTGACTAAATTGGTTTAAGTTATTATTTTTCAAAAATGATTAAAACAAAATCTTACTTAATTGTGTGTTTATTACCGTCTTAGTCATTTTAATTTATTTCAAATGTTTAAGTCAAATTTATGTTTTCTTTGAAACTCAAAAATATTCTTTACCTACTTAATTTTCCAGAAAAACATAGTCAAATATTTTAGTTTATTGGTTAATCGTGCATTAGCTATCGATCTTTAAGTGTTAATATCTTCTTAAAGTAAAAATAAGTACATCTTACTAATTTTCTCTAAAATTTTAAAGGTTTATATGTCAAGACCTTTTTAAATAAGGTTTTTTTAATACATTAGAAAATTAAGTAGTAGTTCTTTTTAAGTATATTTCTTAAATTGATTTGTAATTAAACATTTCAAAGTGGATTTTTCTAAAGAAGTAAAATTGCGACATATAACATTAACTTGAAAATTGCTTAGAATGCAAACCGAGTGTCCGAAACTCATTTGAGATCTCCTTGTAATGATCCTCTAGGTCATTTTTTTTAATTTTTCAGTATTTTCAGCGTTTAAAGCTTTTTTTGTTGAAGATTCAAGTCATTATGATTTATTAGCATTGATAATTGATCACCGTATTGTTCATTTGATTTTTATGCAAATTTTTTTGTTTTGGAGCTTTTGAGATTTAAATATTTGACTTTGATCAAAATCTTCATAAAAAGACCTTAGAATATAATCCGGATGCTTCTATTAGCTACTATGTTTAATTGTATTTTAGAGATTCTACATAATTAATACTAATATAAATTATGAAGAGATCTATATATAATATTATGCTGGATAAAATTTGAAATAAATTATGCAAATATTAATTATTATACGTGAATTAAATAAGAAAATTATATATTTACTCCTATCAATTTACTTTCAAAGTCTTTATGATCATATGTATTTTTCTAAAAAATTTCATACTATTTTTTAAAAATTGGAAGTGGTCAATGACCACTGATTTTATTAAAGGAAATATTATGCGAAATAGTAAATATTTATAGTATATTATGCTCCATATTTATAGTTTCAAATATTTATGATTCACGGTTACAGTTTTACAAGTTTTGCTATTCGATTTCTAATTGTATAAATCTTGAATTTGTATAATTCGGTTTCTGATTGTATAAATTCAGATTTTATATATGCTTACCCTAGGTATTTGTATACGATTTGTTGATACATTTGATTTGTAAATGAAAAATTTATAATAAATTACCTTGTTTGTATATTGGCAAGGAAAAATATACAAATGGAGTTTTGACAAGTGAAATATACAAACTGAGTTCTGAAAAATTCTAAATGTATAAATACGTATATACTTACCTTGTTTGTGTATTAACAAGCGTAATATACAAAAAAAAATACCTATAAAAAACAAACCTATAATTATAAAGCGTAATTGAGCAAACTATTATTATAGAGAGTAATTAAATTTAAGATCTTTGAAATTTATGAATTTTCTCTTAATTAAAGGCAAAACTAAAGAAGATGCAAAGTTAAATCTGGCCCAATAATTAATAAACTAAGGTTACAAAAATTATCTAGCGCGTTTTCATAAAATATATACTTAAATAAAATTTAATAATTAGTGTATTATATGTCACGAGGCATGACATAATACACCTATATAATTTTTGTAGAAGTATATGACAAGTTGTCTGCTTCTAGCTGAAGAAAGTTTGTTATGAATGATGAAAAAGATTTTTATGATTTTCCATGCTCTTTTTTATGCCTCAAATATTGTTAATTACATCAACAATCTCGTGGAAAAAGTTTAAAAAAATATATCAAACTAATATTGAGAAAGAATAAATAGAATGACGAGGTTTTATACTTTATTCATACGGACTTTTTTTCATTAATTTCATAAAACTTCACGCCAATGTTAGCAATTTTAATGTTTAACTTTTATCAAATATTTGATCTCATGTCAAAATGAGTTAATGCATACTACGAAAACAAGAAGGAAAAGTTAAATCTTTTTGTCTTTTCCATAGTTTTTTTTTCTTCTCGAGTTTGCTTCTACTTCTAATGTCGAAAAAAGAAAGAGCAACACATGTGCATTCAGTGAGCCTGATCTTCTTCTGTTCTAACTTTTCAGATTTGGAACATTTACAAATTTTCATTTTTTGTTAATTAATTTTTGTTCGTCTTTCTTACTAGTTCTTTTAACTTTGATAACTTCGTATTTCTGCAATGTTTTGTTGGAATCAGTAATTCTGATTTATAAACACAGATTGGCAACAATAAGAGTTGATTTATCTTGTCGTTGGTATATCAGCTAAGGCGGAGCCAAATGAAAACATGGGCTCAAACCCACAACACCAATGGCTTAGCCCCAGCCACTCCAGAGTGTCCAATTGGATCCTTTCGTCGAAAAATATATGTCAAATTCTACATTAAAAGGACATATATTTAAAGTTGGACACCCTTAAAAAAAAATACCTTTGGTGCAATGGTAATTGGGTATCCATTCAAATCCTAAATATTAAATAAAAAGGGTTAAGCATGTGCGCACATATGCGTGTGTGCACACATCATTGTGCGTGTGTGTACGTGTGCACGCACGTCTTTCATGGTATTAAAGTGAAAGAGACAATGCTTCAGTGAAAACATTACTCAGTTACTCCTTCATACCATTAGAGTTATATACTCTGATGGCATCAAAGAGGTAAACACAATATTTTAGTAAAACGATTACTCAATTACTTTTTGATCATAAGAGTATATATATACACCATTAAAGAATATATATATATACTCCGATGATATCAAGGATGAAGAAGCATTGTTACAACCCAAAATGAACGTGATGACACTCGTCTTATTCCACTAAGAAAACTCATCCTAAAATTTAAAACATGGCATTAAAAATGCAGAAAATTAAAATTTTAATGACTTAAATGCGGATAACGTCTCAGTCAATCTCATAAATACTTCCAAAACCTGATTGTCAAATATACAAACTACTAACATATAAAAACTGAATTGAAAACAAATACAAGTCTCGTTGTCTTCGTTTCTAGAGTAGAACAAGAACATAAGTAAGGAACAAGAAGGATTGTTGAAGTGACAAGCAACTATCTTTCAAGTTTCCACGAAAAAGCCTCAAATGATGTAGAGAAGAAGAATAATCACGCAAATAAAATAGGGGAACTTTCACATATACTCACTCAAAAATAACATAATTACGCTTCATAGCTATAGCTTGCTAATTACGATTCGTAGCTACATGTTATAGGGAGGAGAGTGACGATCGAGCGAGATTGGGAGAGGAAGGAGAGAGGTGAGCGAGAAAGGCAAGAGAGTAGGAGAGAGGTGAATTGTATATGTATATCAGATGTATAATTGTATAGTATACATATGTATTTATATATCTGACAAACGAGATTGGGAGAGGGAGGAGAGATGCGAGTGAGATTAGGAGAGGGAAGAGAGAGACCAGCGAGAGAGTGCAACAACTTGTATAATTCGAATCTCGTTTATATAATTCACAGGCACGTTTGTATAACTCGCTAGGTTTTGTATAATTGAATAGTATAAAATCTAGAATTATTCAAATGTGATAAACATTGAGGTATAGAATTGATATAAACATAAACGTAAGAACTTTAAACAATTATACAAAATATATTGTATTACATTATATAAATTATATTATACAAAATTCAAAAATTACACGTTTATACAAACTTTAAAAAGTTATACACAAAATGATTGAATGTATATGGTGAAAAAACTGAAAAATCTAAATAAATCATTGTCATATATAAATACAAATCATCATATACAAATATAAATCAAACGAAGAATGGTTAGTTATGAATTACACAAATATGATAAATTATACAAAACGTAACTAATTATGCAAACTCAAAAATCAACCTACATCATTAATATATAATATTAATCACAAGTAACAATAACATTTTTTAAAAGAAGTCGTTCCCTCAAGTCAATGACTATATGTATTGCGCGGTATTTCACTTTTTAGTACCGAAAGAAAGTTAGGTGCAAAATTAATAGGGTAGTTGAGTAGGTACATTAATATCGCAACAAAGTAAAAATATTTTATATAATTAAGCTCCAAGACCATTTTATTTCTAGGTCTCCTTCTAGATAAATTAATTGTATAATACATGAGTAGAAAAAAAGGACGATAAAAGGCATTTGTCATTTTATCAAAATCAATGCACTACTTGGTCAATATTCAACAATTACATGTAACTTGCCTTCTCTTTAAGAAAGGAAAATACATAAAAATTCCCCAAATTTACTTTAACGGGCGTTAGCACCCTCTTAACATCTTTAAGAGGTGACAAAGAGAATGAGTTTACTCACCTAATAACATATGAAGGAATTAAAAAAGGAAAAAAATTTATAAAATCATACACATGTCATTTTTTATAAGTTAATATATAATTAATATTTACATATTATTTTCTTAATATATCAACTTTTATTAAACTATATGAATTTTTTTATTGGTCCACGAACTTTTAATTTTTTCTCTTTATTTTATTGTCTTCCCCAAAAGCTTCTTCTCCATTGAAACATCTTTTTTCCTCAATCTTCATCTTCAACTGTATCAACTATTTCAATTTCACCATTTCTTTAGTAATCCACAAAATGAAACACCAATATATTATTATTGACGTCAATTTCACACATATAAATTTTGTCAATTTTCATCGGAGCTAAATAAAGCTTATTGGTTCACCGAATAAGATGAAGAAAGGAAGAGAAACAAGAGATACGATGGAGCTCGTAGGAAAATATGAAGAGGAAAAAAATGAATAGATAAGGGCTAGAAATGGTGAAGAAGAAGGAAGAAGAAAGAGTGAAAGGGATAGGTGGGGCCTGGGTGGGGGGGGGGGGGAATAAAAATGAGTATGGAACCAAAAGGGCAACAATTTATTTCGAAATTTCCAAAAGGGCATCTCAATATATTTTGATACCAAAGGGGCAATATTTTGTTAATTTCCCTAACAGTGTTAAATATAGGGTTTTAAAAGTAAGACTCAAAAATTCACGAGCCTTATAAGTCTCATGTCTTTTTTGGGCCTTGTAAGGCACAAAGCCGCCTACTATAAAAAAAGTAAAAATTTAAGGAATCCCATAGTGCAATACAATAATTACACTTTGTCCCGACAAATTTAGTATTTACTAATAATTCCTTAAAATTGTTGTGGAGTGGTACATTAGTATCTTGTGATACATGGCAAATGATACATAGTAACTTAAAACTATTAAGAATAAAAGGGGGAAAAATGGAACATTTAAATTTGTTATCTAAATCAGCTTAATTTACGATAACAGTTCATTAATAAGCATTAATTCAGCATGTAATTGGATAACAATTTCAAATTTTGAAAATTCAAGATTATATCATCTAGTTTGAAGACATTTTTTATGAACATCCAGTTAAATTTCGAACAATACAAATTTGATTGTTGTTATTGTGGATGATTCATGATGAATACATCAATTTTGATAAGACATTTCGAAATTTGGGTGAACGAATTACAGTATGAAAGTTACAAAATCGACGGAATCATTGTTGGAGATTCAATTTCGTTTTCTAATCTCAAAGCAGCAATTGCAGCCGAGTTGGACATCGATGTATCAAGGAAAGATATTGAAATTTGTTACATTGTAGAAGGTAACTTCTGTCCGATGAAGCTTAAGAACGATATGAGTGTTAAACTATATTTATAACTGAAAAAAATGAGCCTGAATTTTCAATGTATCCATTATGTATTGACACAATTGAAAAGATTGGTGGTACTGTACATAACTTTGATGAAACATGTGGAGAAATTACGTGTGTCGAAGGCACAACACATGATACAGAGGCTTTGGAATTGGTTGAATTTAGATTATTTGATTCATATGAAAATCCAGAAGTTAGAGTTACAAATGTTATAATCAATTCAGATAGTCTAGATGTGAAGACATGTCATATATATAAGGATAAAGCAACACTTGTAGATGTGATGACGAAATATAAGATAAAGAACAACTTCAATTGCAAAGTAAAGAAGTCGGATTAACAAAGGTATGATAGTGTTTTGAATATGTATATATGTATATATATATATATATATATATATATTTATATGCTGTTCAAAATTAGTACATGAAACATTACTATTTTCTATGAAAACCTACATGTATCATTAGTTCTTTTGATATTTTAATGTATCACTATTTCATTAATTTTTTTGATACATTGAAATAACTATTTTGATACTTTAATATACTACTGCTGATATAGTAAGGACTATATCAATTTAAACAAGCATATCAAAAAGTTCTGATACGTGTAAGAAATAATTTTCTCAAAAACTGGTAGATACTTTTTATGTAATTCATTGTTTGATTACTTTAAACATTATTGTTGAATATATTATATGATGCAATTGCTATAAGTATTAATATGCTTAAAAAATGTATGCAGCTATGTGTTGGTATGCTTTTCAGACAAATATGGTTGGACTATGAAGGCGTACTACAGGAAAAAATCTGATATATTCATTGTTAGAAGTTTCAATAGTGAAAATACGTGTCCGATGAGGGAGAGGGTATTAACCAAGGTCCAAGCAACACTCGAATTTGTAAGTGGAGTTACTGCTCCAAAATTGGTCAATCATAAACAAATATATATTCCAAGAGATATAATTGATGATATTAGAGAATATTATGGGGTTCAAATATCTTACCAGCAAGCATGGCGTGCTAAAAAACGTGCACTCTCCATGATTAGGGGAAAATCATCTGCAGGATATAGACGGTTGCCGCGATACATACACAATTTAAAAACTGTGTATCCAAATTCTTATATAAGAATGCATAAGACTGAAGAGGATAAATTTATGTATTTGTTCATCGCCTTAAGACCATTCATTAGGGAATTTAATTACTGCACACCAGTAGCTGTTGTGGATGATTCACATCTGAGTGGAGCTTACAAAGAGACATTTGTATTAGCAAGCACACTTGATGGCGCATGTATTTTTTTATAGTTATGATGTGTTTTTATATGTTACGTATCAAATGATATAATGTGTGTTTAATCAGGTTGCATATTTCCATTGGCATATGGTGTTGTTGACACCGAAAATGATTGTTCGTGGACATGGTTTTTCGAACAATTCAAACATGCATTTGGCAAGAGAAAAGATATGTGTGTTGTTTCAGATAGAAATGAGATTATCATGAAGAGTGTGAGTAATGTGTTCCCAAATATACCTCATTATGCATGCATTTGACATCTTTGGAAGAATGTATGTGGAAACTTCAAAAGGAGCAGAAAGGCCATAAGTGATCTATTCTACTCTATGGCCAAGGCATATAGAAAGGAAAATTTTGATAAGTTGATTGATAAGGTTGATAGAATTGATCACAGGGTTAAGGAGTACCTTGAAGATGCAGGTTACGAAAAGTGGTCAAGAGTTCATACACCAGTAAACAGAGGTAGAATGATGACTTCAAACATTGCAGAATGTATCAATGGTTGTCTTGTTGAAGCACGCCAATTAACTATATTAGAATTCTTCGAAGAAGTTAAAATTCTTTTTGGTTCTTGGCATTGCAAAAACAGAGAAGTAGCCTCATACACAAAGGACACATTAGGGAGAAAATTTGAGGAATTGTTTATTATAAACGCGGCTAAAAGTTCAAATATGGAGGTATGTATCATTATATAATACTTTATATTATATATATCTAATTCATTGTATCATCTGCAGTTTGAACATGATTTATTTTTTAAAAATTATATATTTACAATTTTTAATGTACACAAGTTGTTCCATCATCTGAATTTATTTTCTCAGTTTATGAAACTGGAAGAATATATATTGTTCGTCTTGAACGGAAAATATGTTCTTGTGGTAGATTTCAACTAGATGAGATACCTTGTTCACATGTAATCACTGTATTGAAAAAAAAGAATGTCACAGATATGAATCCGTATTGCTCTGATTACTACAAGCCTGATACATTGGCAAAAACATATGAAATTCCAATGGTACCAATGCCATATAAGGAAGATTTGTCAGATCCTAATAATGTGGTAGCTGAAACTGTTTATCCACCTAGATACAGAAGATTATCTGGATGACCAAGAAAAAGAAGAAGAAAGAATGCAGATGAAAAGATTTCGGTGAACACAAACTGTTGTGGACAATGTGGACAAGAAGGACAAAACAGAAGAACTTGTACTTTCTACCCAAAAGAGAAGTGAATTAGTCGTAATGTTTCTAAGATATGTATTTTTTTTGAATAATTTATAACGTAAACATTTTAATGATTTTCAGTATTCATTACAGTTGCAATTTGAACACTTTTGGTTTTGATAAATAAACTTATAAATAACCTGTGTTAATTAAATTTTAAGTCGCACTTTTGATTATAAATACTTTGTTATTATTGGTGTTGAGAAATATATGTGTCAATATTTCTTTTTTATATAAAATTTTTATAAATCTTATGTTACACTAAGAGATATAAATCTAAGGATTATTAGGTAACATATGGTACATGATACATATGCTTTAGCCAATGTATCATGTGCTCTTAATTATTGTATTACATTGTGGGATTCCTTAATTTTTTATAAAAAAAATGTGTGTTTGGGTAACTTAGTACACATATATCATTTGCTTTGCCCAATGTATCATCTCCATTAAATAAAAAAGAAAACACTTATTGAGGTTAGTGTGTACTTTATAATGACTATAAATCATGTATCATGTGATTTTATATTATTTAACTTGTGGAATGCTTTTTTTGATATGTTTTACTTGAAATATACTGTAAATAACTTTATTTTTACAAAATTATCGCAATTCATACAACTATGTTATTCATTGTAACTAAGTATCATGTAAAAATTAGTTTTCAAATAAACTATTACTTTCTATGTTTAATTAAAAAAACTTTGACTATACTTTATTAACCCTGTGTGACGCTATAATATGTCTGATATTTATATTTTCTAGACAAAAATACTTGTTCCATAGTGTAACAAAAAAAATATTCATGAAAATTGACAAAACCAAAAAAATAACATTAAAAACATCAAAATACTTGTTCAATAATGTGTCAAAACAGGAAATATAACATTTAAACATTGTTTAATAATAAATGCTACACAATGTGAACTAGATCTTCTTCTGGTGGTGGTGTGACTATGCCCCTAGATTTTAATGGATCATCATTGTCACTAACATATCCGCACTTAGCCTTCTCACTGCCATAACTCCACAGCAATGCTTCATATCTTTGACGTAGGTAATTAGGACTAAAATCAACATATGATTTATTGATTTGGTCACTCATATACTCGGCAAATGCAGTAATATATAACCCACAGTCTCTACAAAAAATACAGAATAAAAATTAAAAACTTAATGATACATGATTAAGGACAAACGAAAAATTCTTGATACTTACAGGCTATCGCAATCCTGTTTAGCAATGTCTTTTGCAAATTCAATCATGAAAGGAACTTGAGGCTCCAGAAGTGAACCAATAATGTTGTCTTTGTATGCATGACAATCAGCAAAATTTGTGCGCTCAGTTTCTTCAAAGAATCCACTGTCCAGTAGGTAAGAAGGAAGCATTTTAGACAACATTTTTATCTCATGAGGAATTGCTTTTTTTCTTGTGCATATTGATGAGTCAAAAACTCTGATCACCCTGTTTTTCAACTCAATAACTGCCAGCACCCAATGGAATTCTTGATCGCAGTTAATTGGGATGTAGACCTCATCTATAAGATGCCATGGTAAAGCAGCTGTGATTCCAAAACCTTTGATGATGTTAATTATTGACCTATCATATACATATACAACTGAGTCGCGATCAACATGTTCTTGTGTACTAAGACTATCATCATCATCGTCCATGTAATATTTATCATAACAATTTTTTACATGTGACATGAACAAGCAGTGGGTTGTTGTGTATCTGTATTGATCCATGCTGCAAAGTTTTGATTTTTTATGAAGGTAGTACAAAATCAAATCGATGTACTATAAACAAAATGAAAACATACTAAGAAGTTATATACATCTAAACAATATAAAAAAATATAATTATAAAAAATTGATCATAAATTTTGCTAATTAAATAGTATGATACTTTTACAGAATGTATCATGTTATAATAATATACGTATGACTAATACATATTTGATAATTAGTTTAAGATTTTTACCTCATCAGACCAACATTTGTTTGGCTGTGACATGATATAGAACCAATTCTTGTTCATTGAAAAAGCAACAACAAAGTCCATCATCGTAAATCCAAAAGAAGAAGATTTTGATCTTTATTTATCGTCTGATGGGTTCCTGCATATAAGATACATAAGTTTCAGTACATATACATGATACATAACAGTCACTTAATTACAATTTTTATAAAACAAAGTATCATGAATTAGTTATATAAAAAATAATTACCCCAAACACTTGCAAAAATAATGTTTAAAACTTACTTATTGTTATGATTTTTTAGGAGCCCCCTTGACAACCAATTCATGTAATCCTTAATAAATTTCGGAGAAACTTGATCTGTAATGCAACATCCTTCGAACGGGAAATGGAGTCAAGTCATATCCTTCAATTTCTCTTTTCCCTTCTCGCTTGACCCAAAAGACATACAATATGGAGATTAAATCCTTCTCGAAGGCATTCTGTTTCTATGCGTAGGAGTGACTGAATCGGTTCTAACTCCAATCTCAGTTATTGGAATGTCAGTGGGTAATTGACTTTAGGTCAACAAGTACTGGCTTCTAGTTATATTCTGTGGATTGTAAGAATATAATGGTCTAGCATTAGTAGGATCTTTACCCAAATCTTTGATAAGTGCATCTATTGCTTCTTGAGTTGATGACGATATTGTTGTTGAAGTGGAAGATTACTGTATAATATGATCTAATGATTTTTTTAAAAAATTTGTGTGTAATAAAATTGTATGTCATAAAGCAAAATTGAAAAATCTACCGATGCATCCATTGTTGTTTTTTCGGGCAAAACGTGAGGAATGTTGTGTTGAACATTTTCATCACCATCTTGTTTTATGAAATGTTCATTTAAATCTTGGTGCGATTGATGTGCGTCACCATCCTGAATATCCAGTTTTTAAATAAAAATTATTAATATAATTTGTGCTGATACGTGATATACTGTGGTTTCACGGTATTATTAATACTTTTTCTTTAAATTTAGTGTGTCCAAAAGCCTTTTTATACTAATTTTTATATAAGTTTCTCCTTATTTGCAGGTAATCTGTCCAAAGATGAAGGCGGAGGTTTTTGAGCAATGAAATGCATAAGAGACCACCTACGGAGCTTGTGACGGTCCGTAGGTGGCAGCGTAGTGCAGCTGCTGAAGGAAGATGGGGAAGTCTGACCAAGTGTGGGGTTACGGAAAGCGTGATGGACCTTCGTGTCCATGACGGTCCGTCCTGCAGGTTCCTCATGAAGTTCAGAGAAGTAGTCCCAGTACCTATATTCCAAGAGTTCAAGTGTTTTTGAAGGGAGACCCTCGACGGACCATTGTGGCTGTGACGATTCGTCATACCTGTCGTCGAAGGTAATGAAGAGAGAAACAAAAGAAATTTCATCAAGTATGGGATGACGGAGTCCATGACGGTCCGTCGTGACCACGACGATCCGTCGCGATGTCCGTCGATCCAGCCGCGTTTTGACAGATTTTCAGCAAATAGAGTCCTTGTTTAATTAGGTTTTTATTTTCTATATATAGTTCGAAAAACCTCATTTTTGAGGTTAGACTCTGGATTATTTGGTTAGGGCTTTGATTATTGTTAGATTCTTGATTACTTTGAGATTCTTTTAATTGATTGTTGGTGATTTTTGTTGATTAATCAAGCGAACTTTCGGATTTTACTCTTTCTCATTGAAGTAATTACATGAATTCTTATACCATATATTTGAATATTGTGATTATGACTATGGGTAACTAAAATCCATAACCAGGGTTGTGGGAACCATAGGCAAATAATGAGGAAAAACCTAACTAAAATAACAATTCTACAATAGTGTCTTGCATGTATTGATAATTCTTTCGCATAGAAGTCTTTTTAACGGATGACCAACGTTATAACTCGCCATAATGCTACATGCCGGACCAAGGAGGTAGATAATAGGAAAAGAATTGTCAACATAGATTTAGTGTATACTATCTAATAGGCTAGTATTGATTGGTACGAGGTAATAACTTAGTCAAATATCGAATACGATGCTTAATATGAGGTAAATATAAGGGTTAGGATAGGAACACACGTAGCCGGACCAAGGTGTGGAGTGAAATTTTCTAGATGCCGGACCAAGGATTTAGAAATACATAACTTATCACATTGCATGCAAGATACTATGAAAGAAGTGTTATAGTTAGACTTATCAAGTTATGAACCTGTGGGGAACATGTAAACCCTAGTTACTTTGATTAATTGATTAAACTCCAACATTCGAAGTTGTTAGTTGTCTCCTTTTATTTCGCTAGTTATTTTCATTTATTTAGGAATAGAAACCCCAATTTTTATCATTTTTGCTTTCCAAGGAAGTAATTGACTAAACAATAGTAATAATAGATTGAAGTTAAGTTTAAACTATTTTTCTCATGTGAACGATCCCAACTTCACTAGTTGGGTTATTTACTTGACATGACTGCTTTACTTCTTATTTGAGAAGTAAATTTGAGCGTATCAAATTTTGAGGCCGCTACCGGGGAAAGTTGCTTTTAGATTAATTTAAACTTATTACTATAGTTTAGTTGATATTTTTTTTGATTTTACTTTGTTTTGTTGTTTTTGATTCTTGTAGAACCATCTTCCTTGTATGCCAAATACACAGAGAGGAAGAATAACAGAGGGGACAAAATCCCGCTCCACGGCCCCAAGCATAGTACAGAGGCTATAATGACATAGCAGACTCCGATGGGCCACTTGTCTTGCCTCCTCTACCACCAGGGCACACCTTTGTGGTAACTAGTAGCCTGATGCAAATGCTCACTGCTAGAGGTTTGTTTTCAGGCCTACCTTCTGAGGATTCACATGCCCATATAGCTAAGGTAAGGGCAGTGTGTAAAAGCTG